ACACACACACACACACACACACACACACACACACACACACACACACACACAAACACACACACACATCTACCTACATCCATAGCATGATACATACTAACTGCGTGATCACACTGAGTTAAAATCTCAACGAATCCTTCTTAGACTATACATGTATTTTCCTAACTCTACGTCCCCGTCCCATAGTGCGGTAAAAAAAATTGCGGAGCAACTTATCGTCAAATACCTCTTTAATGGGTGAATCAATGCCACCCATACGTTTGTATCAATTTGTCTTAGATTTTAACTTGATCATATTTTCCCACAACAACTGAGGCCATACTATTTTTTAAATTTTTATTTATTGTTCTTCATAAATCTCCGTCACGCATAAAATGGGGAATGTTCACGATACTTCCTGTTTCTTACACACATAATTTGGTATACACATATGGCCTTCGTCACAGCTCACCAATGACACTTTTAAGAGGCAAAACCTGTTACAAGAAACTAATTTTATAGTGTACACATTTTTCGCACTAAAGGTTCTCACGTTCAGTTAGCATCGCGTCAAAGTAAGGAAGAAAAAATGACGGATTTGCTTATAAAAGCTACATTGCCCAAGCTGTAAACTTTTTAAAATGTGTAGAAAACATCTATTTGGAATTTTAAATTTGTATTTATTAAGGAATTTTCTAGAATACAGCTTTAACAGGTGTACAAAAATATTGATTTGTTAAAAGATAAAATGATAGAAAAGTCAATGTGTAAAAGCCGGAAAGTTTATGTTTGAGAGTTTAGGAAATATTTGACAACAAGTAGCTCCACGAATTTTTGACCGCACTAATTAACGTTATACGGCAATTTGGTCAGGAATTGGTTACAATCACACTTTCAGAGTAAATGACCTCAACCATTTGAGACCAGGCGCATGAAGGAGCATGAGGGTTCCAAAACGCTACAAAACCAACAAAAATCTACATCCACGTTATGAAAAGTTGTTGATCTGGACGATATGACACATACAGTTGCTACACATTTATATTAATCATATTGTGCTACCAATCTCAAAGGTTTCCAATATCTAACATAAGACAAGTACAGAACACAAAACATAGAACGAACGGAGAAGAAAGAAACACAAAGGTCGACAGTGCCTAAAGTGTGCATAGCTAAACAGAAACAGCCTGGGCTTAACCGTAAGGTTAATTAATTGTCATTTTTTAAAATAAATAAAGAGTAAAAAAGAAGGAGAAACTGTCGTTACCGCTACAAAACTAGCTAAAAAACAAAAAGCCTACTCTAACAGAAGTAAAATATTGAACATGATTTTGAAACACCCACCGAGATAGAGAGAAATTAGTCAAAAATTAAAACTACCCCCGAGCTGTGCAGTAGCTAACATGGTGTAAATTAAGGGCCATCCTGACAAGAAAATCTGCCAACAGTTACAAAAGTCAAAAATCTTGACAACAGTTTCCTGAGCTAAGCATTCGAAAAAAAATTCTTAAACAAGAGCAATTTTAAACGATGATTATCACAACACACTACTTATAAGAGCAGGTGCAATGTGAAGCCTCACAACATTCAATTTCATAAAATTTCTCTGCTTGATATTATCAGAGTGCCTATATATAGACTTGGCTTGGTTTTAGAACTGGCTTGATCAAATTGTGTTTCACTTTCTATTTAGCTCATCATTGCAAAAACTTTACAAAAACTTTCGCCTGAGACATAAAAAAAAGAAGAAAATAAAACAGCAAAATAAAATCTAGTTAATGGCTTTAAATGGAAGAATATTTTTTAAATGAGTTCGTGTGCAAAGAGCGGAAAAAAGCAATGAAATTAAAGCGTGTGCGTAGTTATTGTTTGTTTGTTTTTTCTTTCTCGGGGGTATAAAAAAATGTATCATCGATAAGAAAAGGATTGTAGTGGGTGTGCTGCTACAAAAGAAATGCCATTGGAATGATTCTTTATTTCGTGTACAAAAACAAAACACGAAAGAAGGTAAGTCGACCTTGGTACGAGGAATAACTTTTGGTAGACAAAGATACAAAGGTAAAACAATAATGAAGAAGGCAAAGACATCCTTGAATGAGAGCTCAAAGATGATACAGCCTTGGGTGCTATTTCTCTTTTTACCGGAGGCCGGTTCAGAAGGTAAGGGTAGATAATCTCAAAGGAATCCAGACTGTCTTCTGCTCGGGATCCTGACAGTCCTGGCATGGCCTTGACCTGTTTTGACCTCGTTTTCTTTTTTACCACAAAACACACAAATCTATAGTTAGTGAACCGTGTTAGTGAAGTGATATATAAATAAAGACGTACAAGTACAACCCACTCTCCGCTTTTTGCAGCAGCTTTTTTTTTTTAGGCGGGGGGGGCTTTTGCTTTGATGTGGGGTGTTATATAATTTAGGAAGGATAAGGGACGGACTGCGATAAAATGAGAGAAGCAGACAATAAAAGATGTAGGAAAGAAAGATACCATTAAGGAATAGACAGAACTACGTCAGAGAACCTTAGGAGCAGGAAGAACTTTTTCAAAGGGACCTTGTCAAAGAGCAACTTAAATGCCGAGGGATAAATACAACAGGAAGAAAATGTTAACACAGTACAAACCCAACAATGCTAGGCCAACTGTGGGAATTATTCTTTAAGTACAACATTCTAATGACTAATACTTGAAAATAATCTTTAAAAAATAATCGAAAGGACTGCACAAGCTTCCCACACTTCCGAATGTGAGTTTATTCAAGCAAAAACACAAAAACTACTAGAAGCACTGATATTGTCATGAACTAGCAAACTGCACGTTTAATTTACTATATCTATAACGCTTATTACAATAATATCATTATGCCCTCAATCAACAAGAATGAAGAGTGCAATGTTTCATGAAAGTGTTTAGTCGAATCGGATGTTGTCTACCTGGCAGGAAAACGAGTCCAACATGTTGACTTTTCATTTCAAATTCAAAAGGTGAACTACACAATAAACACTTGGTACGCTCGCAGGCCAGCAGTCAGATCTGCTCAAAGAGCTACAAGCCGAAGACATTAATCATTTGTGCAAATGCCCCCCCCTTCCCACCTTGAGTGTTTTCTATTACAATGACACTCTGTGAGACGTCCGTCCGTCCATCTGTCTACGACTTTCACTTTTCCTAATCTTCTGCTTTGACAGGACACTGGAAAAATGCGCCTTGCACTAGTATTCTACACAGAAGCAACTTCATTCAGGATATTATGCATCACATATAGGCAAACAAAACGTGGATACACACTATTGTATTGTCTTCTCAAATACTTTATGCCGTTGTCAGTACAACATAATAAATCATCATAAAGTGGATATTTCACCAATGTATGTCTAGATGGCCTACTCAATAAAATACCATGTCCCCACTGAGAATTGAACTCAATTTCGTTCGTGTGTATGGCAATACATTTTGGCCAGTATGAATAGAAACAGGTATTTAATATAGCGTAGAGTGCACAGAGCTTGCTGTCGAGCGGGGGTATGCGCTATACAAATGCTATTTATTATTATTATTATTATTATTATTATTATTATTATTATCAAAATATCAAAGATGGCGAGGAAAGGTTCTAGCTTTGAAATAGCACGTAGCAGTGTAGACAGCAATACAAAACCTGTGATAGGTTATATATAACCCCCTTACTTGGCAACTAAAGTTTGAATGCTAATTTAAATTGTCATTTAAAACTCTTGGCATTTTTTGTGGTCTTTACATCAGTAAAACAGTCTTCGCTATTCGATCTTTGCAGTTTGAACAATACTTTTCAGACGCATGGATCAATGGACGCTTTTCCAAGCATCCAAGTATTTATTTTAACTTCATGAATATGCAATGAATAGAGCATGCGCTCCAGAAGATTAGTTGGAACTCTCTTGGTATTTTTCTCTTGCATTAATTACGCAATCAGTAATAATGAGGAAACGGCTATAACACTAGTAAGTAACGCAAAAGATGGATCGAACGCCCGATCTCATCAACCGCCCCCCCCCCTTTTCCCCTCTCTCCCCACCCCATGAAAAAAACTACTATAAACTACGACTTGTAGACTGAAAACCAAACTAAGCATAAACCTATATGTCATCCAAAGTGCTTTTTTTCCCCCCTCTACACATTATTTCTGAGTGGGTGGTTGACGGGTGGTTCTGGTGTGATTTATTCCTTCTTTCTTATCCTTAAAAAAATATCGTCCATATCTTTCCTCCTCCTTTTCTTAGTATGGCTGTCTGGCAACACTTCTATGCTTCGGTATTTACGAATATGTGACGTATTTGTGTTGCACGCGCCGTAAAACTCTCATCAACAAAATAAATAAACAAAGCTTTTCTCTCAAGTTTGACATCGAGTTTGGATCACTAATCTAACAAAGGATGGTTCAGAAATAGAGCCTCCGGTTTCACACCTGGTTTGTTCGTTTTTTGTTACACGCCCACCTTTACATGCCTGTCTCTTATGCTACACACCTGCCTCTGACCTTATTCACCTGTCTCTCTAAATTAGCTTTTTATGTGTCTCATATTATACAACTGTCTTATATTACACGTATGCGTCTATCCTACATACCTGTCTATTTCCTAATACTCCTGTCTCTTATCTTACATACTTAATACTTGTCTTTCATTTTACACACTTGTCTTTTATCTTACACATATGGGTCTTTAATCTTACACATGCGTCTTTTATCGTATATGCGCGTATCTTATTTTAGACATGTCTCTCTTATCTTTCATGCGTGTCTCTTATCTTACTCTTGAATAGGACGGACTCAAGTACGAGGAGAGCCATATGTCGTGAGATCCAGTTGTTCAACATGAACTGCCTTTACATTCACTCATTCGAAAGAAAAAGAAAATCACAGAAAGCTTGAGGAATGTAATCTTTTAAAAGTAGCTAAAGGACTATCATTCTCAGTATGAAACAGTTTCTGCAGATTTACAGCCTAAATAGAAACTTCGACGAGATTCTTGTATTTTGGTAGCCAGGAAAAAAACCATTTAATAGGGGGTGGGGGGGGGGGGGTTAAAAATTGTACCTTTCCAGAAGGACTATATCAAGGAATCATCTATATTTATTGACTGAATATGAGTTATGTCGCTCCAGTTATAATTACCTAAAGCGGGATATCAAAACATTACGCACAAAACTGAAATAGCTCTACTATGAAGAAAAAAAAAGGATTTCCTTTATCTACTATATCAGACAGACACACCGACATTGAAATCAAGATATCACCCCCCTCCCTCCTCATTTTCTTTCTTTTCACACTTTAACCACCACCCTCCCTCCCCCATCCCCGCCCCCTCACACACCTTTTTTCAACCCTAGCATTTTCTACATCAGAGATAAAATACGTCAGAAATGGAATAGATGCATGGAAAGTAACAGTGATCAAACAGATAGGCCTACAGAGCGTTTTTACAACCATACTGGTTGTTAAAGGCTGTAGATTTTGAGCCGTAGGGCCTACTCAACATGACAGCAGTTGCATTTCACCAGAAAGACGCTAGGACAACAGATGCATGAAAAAGAATTAGATGGGGTAAGCCACGTACACGTGAGTGCCCACCGCCAACCACTTTGTATAAAACATGTGATCATTAAGATATAAAGTTTCTAAGATTAGTAAGGAGTCATAATTATATGTATTATGACGTGAGTTTATTGTGAGCCAATGGAACAATTCAAAGTGATAAAATGTGTCACAAAAACTGTGACTGTGCATAGAAGAATCAAACATGTAAACACACACACACACGCGCGCACAAACATACACAAACACACATATACACACACACCACACACACACACACACACACACACACACACACACACACACACACACACACACACACACACACAGAGTGATACATCAGCATAAATGGTAGGGTAAGACCTAAACTTGATCATAATCATAATCTTGGAAAGGTTTTCAGGCGGGGAAGAATTGAATAGCTTTTCATTTAGAAAAGTTCTTGGGGGCTCTCGTGGCCTAGAGGTTAAGGTGTTGGCCTCTCATTCAAAGGTCCCGGATTCGAATCCGGGTAGCGACCAAAAAATTTTCTTCTCTAAAATTGTCTCCTTTCACCTCCTTTCCTGCTCTCTAGCAATGTTCTGTTGTCTGCTTTCATTTCCACTTTCTGCCCCCACCCCCTCACCTCGTTTGCCCCCTCCTCTGGGCTCCCGACTCTTTCTGCAGCCTTTCTACTGTTACTCCTTGGCTCCTCCTTACTGCTGTCTTTCTGCCACACCCCTGATCTTCTGGTAGGAAAGATCTACACCTAGCCTTCTCGGACAGGGGCGAAAAATCTCGGAGGGCCCGTGTGCAAGTTGCGCACGTTAAAGATCCCTTGGTGGTCTAAAATCGATAAGAGTAGGCTTCGGCCGCCACCCGGGCAAAATTCAAAATTTCCTACCAACTGAAAATGTTAGGTGTGTCCCGTGCGCTCATATGACCTTATGCAGTTGCGAGCCCCGTAAAACACTTTACAAAAAAAAAAAAAAAAAAGTTCTTTTAAACTTCATTTACTTTGAACACCCTCCCCCCCCCATTTGCGCCCTCCCCCCAACTTCTTGTAGCAGGCTGCACTATCATAATGACAGGCAAATGTTGTACACAGTGCACATCCGATTTTTTTAAACAAAACTCTTCATAAAATCAAGACACACAAGCTTAGCTCCAAGCTGACAAAATAAGCGTTTCAGTTGCGGACGGAGGAAGTTTTCCCAAGGAACGGTAACAAGCACTGGCCTTTAGAAGTTCACTTCACACAACACACCTCACCACTAGCATCTACATTTTGCAAACTGTACCCACACCATGCAATAAATGAAGACTAGAAACGTCCAGCTATCATTCCTGGGACTTTGTATGGCACTTAAAATTCAAAACTCAGCAGCAAATCAGTAAAATATATATATTTTTTGTTAATGCATGTTGATAATATATCCAGAAAAGAATGTCACAATGCTGGGTTCCAACTACCCTGTACTTTCAACTCAGTACGACCCGAATTTCTCCCATTAAAGACCAATCCGCTCTTTTATGTTAATAGAAATTGCAAAAGAAAATGCTTTTCGTAAAAAAATTAATAAAACAAAAATAGAGAATATAAACATTGAGAGTTGTGGTCAAATAGATTCAATTCTAGCCCTAGACAGAAGGGTTAAAGAGTTGGAAAATTAAATCCAGAATTGTCACTTTTCTTTCATAACATGGTGAGCACATCATTCATTGAAGAAAGTAAGAAAGTAGTTTCATAATACCTCCTCTTGTTCCAACTGTGAATGTGATAAGAAAAAAAATGAGGATAGCTTTGCCTCCCCATATTTTCAAACTAATAAGATGCATTTATGCTACTTCATGGTCAGAAAAACTTTCATTTCGCTTTACACAAGCCTCATTAAAAAATGGGTTCAAATTTTATTTCTCAATCAACTTGATAAAATCTGATAGTTAGAAATTTTCTTGGAAATATTTCAATAGCAAAATGCTTATATATCACCAGAAAATTTCTAATGGTTCCATGGTAGAAAAATAAGCAAGTCAAACGTAATATTATGTTGAATATGTACTTTGATTACTTTCTTTGTCCCTAGTTTGATTCATCTCCATAAAGAGGGCAATGTGTAAACGGACAGACTTACTACAATATTGTGCAGCACACCAATCCATCACCATTTGCACTCACTCTTAAAGCAAAGTATTTATTCATGCATTGTTGGATATCTGTGTTTTTCTAGGTGAGAGCTGCTTAATTTTTTAAAATGAAGAACTCACCTTTTCCTTTTCTGATTTGTGCTCCTCGCCATTTTGATTTTGATTCTTGCGTCTCTCCTCTCTTTTGTGTTCCAGCCATGCCCTAAAAGCAGACTCATTTTCCTGTCTCCTTTCCTCCTCTTCTTCTTGCTTTCTTTTCTCCTTTTCTCTTCGTTCCTCCTCTTGTTTTCGTGACAACTCTTTTGCTTGTTCTTTCTGCTCCTGCGACATGGCATATGGGGAATTGTAGGAGAAGTTGTCTAGAGATGTGTTAGAGTTAGATGTGTGGCCGGCCGACTTTGGCCGGGGTGACTGTGCTGGTCGCACATTGCGACGAGGACCTGTGGATGCTGTGTTGGGCCGCGGCTTAGAAGGAGGCGTTGGCACCATCTTCGAAGACTCGCTACTGGATGTTGATGAAGTCTGAGACTTGTCACGAGCCTTTTGATTGTTGCTCTGTTTTTCCTGTTTCTTCCCATCATCATCCTCTTCCTGAACATACAGTGCCCTCTCATCTGCAGTTAGATCATTTGAACTCACCACTTCAAAGTTCCCATCCCGCTCAACGACGTACTGCTTTTTATTCAGATCCTCAGAGTTCTCTTTGTTACTGTCTCCACTATCTTTGTTGCTAGTGGGAGTGGCCTCAGTTGCCACAGGCTGGGGTTCTCCCCGGGCACTGTTTGGCCTCGACTCGTCATCGCTGTAGTCTGGAGGAGGCGGGGCCACCAGATCAACAATCTCAGCCTTGAATCCCACGCGGTGCTCCCTGTCTTCCTCATTAGGCTCCGGCTCATTGGCCAGTTCTGCGTTGAGCTGCTCTATCCTGTCCTTCACATCGTACTCAGGGGGCTCTTCATCTGAAATCAATATTTTAAAAAAATACTTTTGTAAATTTTAAAGTGTGTAATTTCTGAATGGGTAAGTAAACATATACTCACTTTAAACGTCAGATCATGTTTGCAACCATTGCTAAAAAAAACCTGCATCACTGGTAGGTCATCATCATCATCATCATCACTGCCTTTCTCACCATGGATAAGGGTACAATCCACGAACAAATACTTTCCATATTTCCCTATCCCAAGCTAGCCTCTTGACATCATTCCATATCTTCCTTTTTCTGTACATGAGCATTCGATGACACAATCAGGAGAGACTTCTTCGATGGAAAAGGGTCAGTAGAGTCCTTTTGGCTTTGTCCACTGTCCTTCACAGGTCATGCAGACAGACAGACAGACAGACAGACAGACAGACAGACAGACAGACAGACAGACAGACAGACGCACAGGGAGACAAAAGATGACAGACAGACAGACAGACAGAGAGAGAGAGAGAGAGAGAGAGAGAGAGAGAGAACAAAACAACAGTTGAGCGAATGCGAGAGAGAGTGAGAGAGAGAGAGAGAGAGAAGGACAA